CAATGTTATGCAGATTTTAACCTGAGGCTATATCATTAGTCAGGGAACAGCTCTCAACCTGAGTGGCTTTGTTCTAGTTGATTTATACCCACACCCTCAGGGCTCAACTGGATGTAAAGGGAGATTATCTGATGCTACTCATTCAACCCTGAGTGCTCGCTGGAAGGACAGATCCTGAAGCTGAGGCTCCAGGACTTTGGCCATCTCATGAGAAGAGAAGACTCCCTGGAAAAGACCCTGATGTTGGGAAAGTGTGATGGCAAGAGGAGAAGGGGACGACACAGGACGAGATGGCTGGACAGTGTCACCGAAGGTACCAACATGAATTTGACCCATCTCCGGGAGGCAGTGGAAGACAGGAGGGCCTGGCATGCTCTGGTCCATGGGGTCATGAAGTGTCCGACTTAAGGACTAAACAAGAACAATCATGCTCTGGTCCATGGGGTCACGAAGCGTTGTCTGACTTAAGGACTAAACAAGAACAATTGATATAACCTGGGACTTCAGCCCAAGTCACAATGTTCCATGCAATTATCTCTTCAATACAGACTTAATGGGATTAATGACCCATGTAATACACACCGTGCAGTGTTCCCCAAATCTTTATGGACGATGTTGCATTTCATTATCTGAGAAGTGCTTTCTAAATGCTGGTCTTATCTGGCTCTGACCCAGAGAAGCCTGCTGCTCTGCATAACCTTGTACTGGAAGTCAGGGCAGTCCCTGCTGTCCCACGAATTAAAAGCAAAATCTGCACGTAGGCTATAATTTATCTGGACTTAAAAATGCCACAAAAGTGTGCAAACATTTGAGTTCTTCAGATCTCCTCCTAATGGTGAGGAGGTGATCTGATCCAGCCGAGGAGACTGGAAATTCAGGGCCCAAACGATCACCAAAGTAAGATTTTCTACCTTCTACATCTACTTTTACTTTTTTTACACTTTTTTTTTCTAAAGAGGGACTGTACAGAGGATTCATCCTGTATTGTTTAACTTGCTGGTCATTTGGCCTTATTGTTTAGCCTCAACCGGCCAAAGAAGGGGGTTCCGTCACCCTCCAAATCTGCTGGGCAGTTTTGCTGCCGTAAATTATCCCACGCCCTGGTATGTCTCGGCTCTGCGCCCTCTGAGCAACTTCTCCATTTCCCCACACGGGAACGGGCAGATCTCGCCAGCGCCAGCCCCTTCCCCGCCTCCTCCGGACGCTCGTGGCTGCGGCGACAAAAAGAGTCCCTCTGCGCCGATTGGTGTCGAGCGGGTCGGACGCGCGAGAGGGCGCGGCGGGAGTTTCGCAGGTGAGTTCCGCGGGCCTGCTCTTTGCAGCCCCGCTCAGTGTGGCCCCCCCCTTCTCAGCGAGCGAGGTGGCTGTCGTTGGGGGCGGTTCGACCCCACCGGCAAGGGAAGGTCCCCTCCTCTCCAGGTCCCGGAGGCGAAAAAGATCCCGGGCTGATGACAGCCCAGCCGGTCGGGTTTTCTTCCAGCGACCGAGTTCACCATCGTTTTGCCCGTGCGCTCCCCTCCCCCTCACCTCCGCCCGCAAGGGTGCATCGGAAGTCGCCCAGGTTCTCCAGCTCGCAGGTCTTCTTTGCACCCGGAGGCGGCAGCGGCAGGCACGTCGGGACGCTTTTCAAGAGTCTCGGCACCCAGAGGCGGCAACTGGACCGCTCCGGGTAAGGCGCAGGCAGCGATCATGGACGGCGGCGGGCGGGCGAGGGAGGCTCTTGCTGCGGATTGGCAAACTAGTTTTTCGTTTTCATCGGTCGTGGGCCGTGATATGCCCTCCAGTCAGGACCGGCTTAGGGCGACCCTAATAGGGCTTTCAAAGTATCCTTGAGATCTTTTAGCATTTATTTTGCCGGTTCCACCCCCCACCCCACCCGCGAGTTTCCATAGCCGAGCAGAGACTCAGATCCGGCCTCTGGAACCCTCGTCGATCACTCTGCCCTTTAACAGTCCAAAAGGGGTATCTTTTTATTAAATATTATTAAAAGCACTTAATTTAGGATAGAGCGGGGAAAACGCTGCGCTGCCCGCTCCTCACCAGACAGCTGCATGCATCTTGGCCAGCAGCTACTTTTCTATCGCCTTGGCACAAATTAGGGTTTTCAGATTACTACAAAGTCAGAAGCCTGAATGGGGCAAGTGCTGGGAGTTTCTTTTTAAAAATTAACTGTGCCACCTTTGTTGGATAGCTGCGAACAGCGTATTGAAGGAGCGAGCGAGCGAAGTCGCCATCATCCTCTTTTGTAGGAAAAGAACGCCTCCTTGCTTTGCTTTCTGCTGCTCCCCAAGGAGGACGAAGACCTTGCTCTTCAAGCCAGCTTCCCCTCAAATGACTGGCTGCCTGAGTGGGGTTTTTGAATGGATTGTTCTAACTTACTGCTTTGGATGTGTTTTTACTGTTGCTTTTTGTTTACCGTCGTTTAGTGCGTTGTTCGATCCTTTTCAGTATCTGTATACTTACTGCTTTTGCTTTTAAATGTTGTACTTTAATTGCTTAAGCCCGCTTGCATCCTTTTTCAGGAGAAGGTGGGGGATAAAAATATTTTAAATAAAGAAATCAAAATCGCTGGGTAGTGTGTCCCTGAATTAAAGAAGAATTTGTTTGTAATGAGGGAGTACTGTATATGTGGTGTGGTAAGCTCTTTCCTGGGAGGGGGGGGGACAATTTTTTAAAAATAATCGGAATAACTCCGAAGAAGTTATGATCAACGTAAAAGCCATCTGCTGTGCTTTTCTTTCATACCCCTTTAATACTATGTGGCAATATAAACAGTGACACAGTGATATAAAGTTTTTGTTAATATGCAACAAGGACAATAAACCTATGTGTGCATTATTACAATTTAGATTAATACACCTCTCCACTTTGGCTTTCTGCATAAAGGCTGGAGAGTGGGCAGGAGGAGCTGTAAGAGTGATTTTGTGTGTGTGTGTGTGTGTGTGTGTGTGTGTGTGTGTAAAATAGAGCAGCAATAAGGCCTGAAGTTGATGAAGGTTTGTGTGCTAAGATGGAGAAGGTGTTGCCAGTTTAACCATTTGTGCAGTCAGCTGAAATGCAGCATCAACCTGTGAGTCTTTGGCCAAGCTGCATGATCCCAGACCACTGCCAGAAGCAGGGATTGATAAACCACTTCCGAGTGTTTCCTACCTTAAAAACCCTGTAAGAGTCCTGTAAATTGGAATGAACTTGACAGCTATCATGTGTGTTTTTTTTATTATTATTGTTGGTACGGCCAACGGCCTTGTTGGCCAGGAATTCTGGGAGTTGTAATCCAGTAAGATGGAGAAGGTGTTGCCAGTTTAACCATCTGTGCAGTCAGCTGAAATGCAGCATCACGTGGTAAAGAAGCATTTCCTTTGGTTTCTGAAGAGAAGAGTGAGCAATGCCAGTGTAGTATCACAAAAAGAAGCTGAGCTTTCAACTTCTACAGGAATCTTCATAAGGCTGGGCATGACGTTAAGAACAAGAAAGGTCATCATGGCTAGATGTACAGTGCCAGGTCCTTCTGTTTA